ATAGTTCTATTATCGAACGAAGCAGATTTATAGAATTTCCTCATTAATTATGCAAATTAGCTCCTGATTTGCATAATTGTCATCTGATTATGTCAAGCATCACTTCAGCTACCTACATACCAAAAACCATGACAATCCGTCAACCGGTTCTTGAGTTATCAACCTTCGGAGATTTTTCAAGAAACGCTCCTGCAGTTCCTGAACAAGCTGCTAGGGGGTCTAAACTCAGGTCACATCTTCCCTACCCCAAGAGCTATCTACCAACCAATATTCGCGACCCTAGCATGTCTAGATCGCGAGATATCAACACCGGAAGTTCTGCTGCAGTACCAACAAAAGCTGCCAGGGGGCCCAAAATCCAATCATTTCTAGGTCTCATGAAGACCTACCTACCTACCAAGTTTCATGACAATCCATATTAAGCTTCTTGAGTTATGCTGTTCACAAACAGACAAACAGACAAACAAACGCTACTGAAAACATAACCTTCTTGGCGAAGGTAATTAAGACCTTAGCAATGCAACGTCACTGGCAGAATGTACAGAAACAGAACTTTAGTACTGCAGTACCAAGGAAAGCGGATAGGAGGCACATAATGTCCATTGCCCATTGTCATTCAAGACCTTCAAGCGTAAAAAATATCATCACAAGACTCTACATACACAGGCCATCAGTAGCGTCTTGATTTATGCTGACTGCAAAACATACAAACACACAAACAAACACAATCGTGCATCCATCCGACATTTTACATTTGAAAAAAGAACGATATAGGAAGAGATATCTATTATACATTAGACTGAAAGTTGAGATTTTATTGAAATCCTAAAAATGTACAAAATACTATCAAGATATATTATATCAGAAACACATTGTTCAGAAGATGATATAGGCAAAGACTTTGAAAGTATGCGACCGGACAACTTTTTTTAAAATCCAAACAGAGAATTACTTTATCAACTGAATCTCTAAACAAAGGTGTGAAGAAGGCCTAGCTTCTGATGGAGAAAACAAAAGACCCGGATTAAGTGGAATCCTAACTATATTTCTTACATTCTTTTATGATGGGGTTATAGTGACCTCTCCAGTGTAAAATAAAAGATGATATAGTGTAACAGAAATGAAATATAAAACAAGAGTTCCACGATCTCATACCTTCGCCAAATGATGTTAACCTTTGCGGGTGACGAATTATACAATTTTAATCATTGATTTTGTAAATAAGAGCCTCATTTGCATGGATTATATCAGTTGATCATATTCTCCATCCAATGACAGCCTTATCATAACAAAAAGGCTATTGTAGCACTTTTTAATGAATTATGCAAATGAGGTCATGATTTGATTAAATTATGTTAATTGATGTTCACCTTCACTTAACTTCCAAATGTGGCAAGTATGAAATTCGGGGTGCAGCAGTTACAACTATGGAATTATAAAAATTTTCAATTAATTACGCAAATTAGGTCCTCATTTACATAATCTATATCCTCAGATGTTTTTCTCGTTCTCAAGTAGATGTCACAAGTGTTTTATAGTTCTATTATCGAACAAAGCAAATTTATAGAATTTCCTCATTAATTATGCAAATTAGCTCCTGATTTGCATAATTGCCATCTAATTATATCAAGCATCACTTCAACTACCTACATACCAAAAATCACGACAATACGTCAACCGGTTCTTGAGTTATCGTCCTTCAAATTTTTTTCAACAAATGCTCCTGCAGTTCCAGAACAAGGCGCTAGGGGACCAATGTCACTTCTTTCCTACCCCAAGAGCTATCTACCAACCAAAATTCATGACCCTAGCATGTCCAGATCACGACATATCAAAACCCGAAGTTCTGCTGCAGTACCTAGGAAAGCCGCCAGGGGGCCCAAAATCTAATCATTTCTAAGTCTTATAAAGACCTACCCACCTACCAAGTTTCATTCCAATCCATCCACTTCTTCTCGAGTTATCTTGCTAAACCACCACACACACAAACACAAACACACACACACACACACACACACACAAACGCTACTGAAAACATAACCTTCTTGGCGAAGGTAACAAACCTATAACAAAGGTGAGACCTGCCTTCCTCCCTGTCTGGAGTTATTTCAGTTGGAACATTGTATTAAACCCAACACAATATCTGTATCAAGCCATACCTGCCAAATGCACAACTCTGATCAAAACTCACTGTTGCACAGCCCAAAACTGTGATTGTCCCCATATTTTGACTGTGGTTCGAAGGAAAGTGAAGACAAAACCTTGTAAATTGTATAGAACACTTCATTCATTCAACTACGGGATGCGGAGCCAAGCTCCCATAAAATGGCAATCATACTTCAAGGTCATAAGCTAAATGAATATTGTGATGCGGAAAAAAGGTATTGAAAAAGATTTATGATACATCAGACGGGAAAAAATTAAAGAAATCCTCAATAAATGTACAAAATATTATCGAAATATTATACTAAAATGACAATGTAACCGAAGATATATATACTTAGACAAATGTCTTCAAA